TACAACACTCATTTATAAATGCTCTACTTACTTAATAACAAAGTTTTAAATCTCTTTTTTATAGTTTATATAATTTATGAACTGATAAAAAAATCCATTAAAAATTTTATTTAAATACAGATTTTAGTTTAATTTTGAAATAATTTCAATTTTGTTCGAAATTTATTAATTAAAGTTAATTATCCAATTATAAAACTAAATTAATTGCGATTTCTCTTAACTCTCTTTGCATTTTAACATGAGTTGTTAATTATTACCGATTATTATTCACCATTATTTGTTTTCAAAATTGATGAATGAAAATAAACAATAAAGCTGAATAGAAAGCTCAACTTTTCTAAAACTTTCTAACTTATTTGGAAAAGACAATATGATATTTTATTCTAAAAAAGAAAAAATTCAGTAATAAAATAAATATTTTAGACAGTAAATAACTCAAATGAAAATTCTCTTTGGAAGGTTGTTTTTCGTAGACTCTCAATAAAACGTAACCATTAAGATTATTTATAATTATATTATTCACCCAATTAAAATAAAATAAATTATTATCGCAATTAACCAATCATAATTATTATCGGCAATGTCGGCAATTTAAAATGCATTTAGAGAAGTAGTAACGATGATTTGTTGATAAATGGATTGGCCTTCAAGGTAATTAGAAAATTTTCAACTGTATATAGATGTTAAGTAACCTTTTACGTTGAGTTTCTCGTACTTTGTACGTGTGAATCGCTCACTCGAGAGAGCTGTTCAAGGTGGAATAAAGCGCTAATCTCTTAACGCTTCTATGATTGGAGAATAAGATTTATCTTTCATTAGTAGGTCATTTGCATTGAATAGACAAGCTACACTATAACATGCCCCGTTAATTATTTGTTTCTCGCGTGGTGTACAGTTGGGTCTGACTTAACAGTCATGTAGGATGCTTTGACAAGATACATACACTCCAGGGATATTCTAAATGCTCTTGCGTATAAGTTATACACATCATGCATACGAATTGTATATATACACAAGTTTGTTAATTCACTTGTGATATGTGAAAAGGCGCAAAACCCGTGAATACTTTGAACCGACAGCGGCGTCGGCGAGGCGTGGCCACAGCAATTATCTCGATAGAGTTACAAGACTCGTTTTGAGCTTACACTCAAATTTATTAGCCTCATTCGTGTCAGTTTAATTGCCGAGGTTCACCGCCCTCTGGGCATTTCTCATCTTTAAACGTACATTATATATGTATATGCAATTCCACATACAAAATATAAGTATGCGAGGATTAATGATCCTACGGTTGCACCGACTCTCTTCATTTTTTTCTTGCCATTTTTGGAAACATTTAGGAATTATGATAATAATGTATTTTGCTAGATAGAAACAATTTAAGTCAACATTCTAGTTTTTGAAACTATATCAGTAAGTAATAATTATAGACCTTTCTTTATTCACGCATCATCAAAAGTACATTTTTTTTTTATTAATTTAATAAAAATTTGATAACGTTATTATGGTGTCATACTTATACCCTCAGTATACTGGACAATAATGTTCTGCATTTAAGATTTTATTATTGAGAATCTGGCAGTAATAATAAGGCGCTTGGTTCGTAAAGAATATTACTCCAATGCATTTATCCAGTAATTATATTTAATAAGAAGTTCATTAATCTGCATAATGATTAAACGTAAATTATATTGATGTAAATTATAGCTTGTTGGTTAGTAGGAAAAAATTATTTTACGAAATAAAAAAATTTACATACATTTTTTTAACCTAAATTTTGTTAATTGGTGCAGAATAATTAATGTTTTTTTACTGGATTTTAAATAAAATGAAAAAATGATCAACTCAGTCAATTTTTTATATAGAAAAGTACTATTGTTTTTGAAATAAAGCATCACTTTGAAAACTAGAACAGCCATTTATTATCAATTGATAAACTTAAAAAATAACTTCGGTACTATTTCCTTTCGGAGTAATTAATCTATGATAAGCAAATCAATTTAATCATAGTGTTACATTAACAGGTCGCAAGTGATTATCTTAAAATAAAAATGAAAAAAATGATTACGAGATTGTGAGAGCTAATAAAATTACAATCATTCATTATTATAAATCTTATCAGTTGATGAAAGACTTGAATTAAACCATCTTAAATTTTTTGAAAAAATTTTTTTCTTGCTTTCCTCATATATCAAGCCTAAGTTTCATCAATCTTAATAATCACTAGACAATTCTACATCTCCAACATACAAGAGAAACGTTATAAAATATTATGTCTTTCAATGTCACAATTAAAGGACAGAGTCTTTCTCTGCACGTACATCCGTCATCAGTTAATTATCTCATACACCAAAATGTCACTTGAAAATCTGTCAGTCTGCAGCGATGGTATATCTAGAGAAAAAGCCTGACCATAAACTGACAAAAAGGTGATTGATGATTCAGGATATATATCAATAGATTGGTGAATGATACACGATTTGAGTATTTTAATTAACTCATGAATAAGGATTACAAATGGAGAAAAGTATGAAAGAATGATATGAGTAAGTTGATAAGTCAGGATAATGACATGGCGATGGTTCAGCCATCAGAGATGTTGTATCGAGATAGGCGTGAAGAAATTTAAAGTTATTCGAAGCAGTATGTAGCGATGTTTGGTGGATAATGTGTAGCGCCCCAAGGAGGCATAAGAGGCGACGAAGAGAAGGTAAAAGAACGATCGTGGTGGCACGGTCCCAAGAGTATATTTCGAAAGACAACAATAGAAGGCATCGGTAGGACGTATTGTATGTATTGTATTCAAGAGGGTGCGGCGGACTCTCACACAATGCCTTCTGCATTATGTATCTCTATGGTTGCTCGTATAGACATTCATGTTTCTTTGGCTGTGCGTTGAGCGTTTTAATCCTAAACAACTATCTATGAGCGCGAAGAAAAAGTTAACATCTACGGGGAGTCGTACAATTATTCACCTGGTCTTTGAGTTTTCGGTACAATGCCGAGAAAATCAATTTCATTTTGGGTAATATTTATTTAATTAAAGACTTGGGGAGGAGCTAGGCATGAGTCTTGACAGTGTATTGTTAAAAAAATTTTTATTCAATGTTTTATATTTATTTTCAAGCTTGTTGAACGAGTTTTTGACATTTTGACATCTGATGATTGATAGACTTATTGAGTTGATGCCATTATAATAAAGAATAAGTTTATTAAAATATTTTTATTTTTTTCAGCAACATTTATCAAACTGGATTTTTTAACAATAAGTAAATCAATCATTCGACCAACTGAAAAATTTTGTTGCCAACAACTTTAAACAATTTGTTATTATCTATTTCTATTGAAAATATAATTATAAAAAATATCCATTTATTAGAAATAAATTATTATTAAACTCAATTTTTAATGTTATTTTCAATAACTCAATAATAATACAAATTCCAAAACATTCCCTTTTTTAGAAAAATTTTTTTCTATTTGTTTCTCTTTCTCCAATATTGTGATCACCACGATTACTATTTCACGTGCTATTGTCGTTTGTTTAACAACAATTTATATAAAAAAATGGTTTTGTGCTGATTGTAGAGAACTGTTTATGAGTCTAGAGAATGAATTGAACTCTGCAGGGAGTCATACCAAATTACTCGCTTCGTCTTGATTCTTTCAAGTACAAAAGAGTGCTGGAGATGTCGATTTGACTTTAAACAACATTGGTTTGTAATAAAAGCTTTTATTGACTTGACAATCAGCAGGTTGACAGGCGACTAATTTCTTTTGTTTTGTTCATTTTTCAAGAATAATCGAGGACGACGTTAGTTGTACATGCGCACAGAAGGCGATAACGCGGCATGACCGACGCGATGGGGCGTGAAACCAATTTCTGAAATGTCAGCGCAGAAAATGGGTGGGTAAAGTCTGGCGTCTTGAGAACGTCTTCCGCCAGCTGGCTTCCGTCACTCACTCGCGGTTTTCTTTGATCTTACTCGCATATATTCCTCTGCTTCTTCTCTTTACTTTCGTTGGCTTTCGTCTTCAAGAGTAGTAGTAATAGTCTACGAGATGCACTTAAGACTCTTGGGATGTGCGTCGCTAAATTTTATTTTGACTTCTGCTGCTGCTTTTACTTATGTACCCTACTCCACTGTGAATAGCACTACTTGTTGAAAATTTATCTTTAAACTCAACTTATTTTAATCTCAAGTAGATAAACGAGAAAGAAAATATTTTCAAATGGGGAAAAAAAATTTTTCGTTTCTGATGAAAAGTATCTTGTAAACAGCTTTAACTATGCTTTTATTAATCCCATCAATTCTCACCCTTTTAAAAATTAAATCTTCATTAAATAAATATTTTGGTATCATGTAAATGAGTTATAAGAAATCTTTTTTGAGGTTTTCGTCATTTTTTTGTGGCTTTAAAAGCATCATTTCAAGAGATTCACATTCAGATAAAATGATTACTCCCTTAGCTGTTTTCAGCTTATTGTCTGAAAAGCTTTAATAATAATACCAAAATACTTCTTAATATTTTTAGTAGTCACAAGACTACATCTAGGATATCACAGGACTATTACTCAAATAAAGCTCTTCTAAATGCTTTTACTCGTAATCCTTGAATGCACTTATTTCTCAACTACAAATCTTGGTTGTTGAATTCGTTGATATACTCCAAAATGCATCTGAATGTTATAAATTGCCTTGATCTCTTGACTGTATGATACTTGTCGACTTTTTGACTCCCTAAGTAAGTGGCGCATTATCTTCAAGGTGATCTCAAAAATAGATTTATGTAAGAATCTCTTGTTCGTTTCCTGTTAGAATCAGTCGGTACCACTTCTGATGCGAGATCATCATCAGGAAGATGTAAAAACTTCTCTGAGCAAGTCGTGCATATTTTTTCCACAACTTTCTTTTTTCTCAAATTCCTTATGTTGCTTTTGTCAGATCCACACTTGGACAAAAACTAAGATGTATTTTTTCCTTTTTTTCCAGTTAACGCCGCGGGTGTCCGAGAAACCAGACAAGGAGTCAGGCAGAGAGCGCACTTGGTAAAGGCGACAGGAACGCCGCTCATGAGGTGACGTAATCCGGCACTTAGCGTCGACCTCGCGCCGCCTCGACGTCGTCGTTTCATCCCTCCTGTCAGACGCCCCGCGGGAATCTGGCTCCTATTACTGTCTCTCTCACTCTCATTCACTTCACCTCCTTATTATATGTCTCTATACTAAATTCTCCGCTTTCTGTTTTTCATCTGTTACAACTTATTTATGTTTCAAACGACCCCTCTAGGTGTAGATACGTTGGTGGTGATTATTTGCAACGCCCCTAAGTGCTTGAATGACATTTTAGACACTCACTGGTTGACTGATTCAAGGTAAATATAATAAATCACACTTTTTAAAGGAGAGAAATTAAATATCTAGTTTAATATTCATGCTTCAGGATCAATTTATGTTTTTATATTTTCCTTTTGATGCCTGTAATTTAATTCATTATTAATACTAACTATAATTTTAATTCTGGCTATTTAATTAGACAACTTTATTTCTTTTTTAAATTACTCATTACAGTTGATCACTTTTTAATGGTAGATAAAATTTTTTTTACAATTAGTACAGTTGAAAAATGCTCCATTAATTCGTTTTATTCGCTCTTTTATTGAGATTTTTAGAATATTTGATGTTCGAACCTGCAGGTTCAAGGTTCAAGGTTCATGTATGTTTGATTGTTCTTAAAGGATTGAATCTTTAGAAACAGACGACAGCCAGGTATATGAAGGCGTACGATCAAAAAAAGTCTCATAGTTCAGAATTAAAGATACTCATAACCACTACGAGACGAACAGTTCAATCTGGATTAAGCTAGAAGAGTTATGATTTTTCAAAGTAATTTCATCCTGCCTCAAACCAAACCTTACCCTCAAAACATTACTCCTTGTGTAGTTATCTGAACCAATCTTCACCGATAAAATTCCCTATAAAATGCGGCATCGATTTTTCTCTTTGTAAAAGCAGACGTAGAAATGTTTGGCATTTGGTAACATCTGAAAAAATTGCTTATTTATTGAAACGAGATTTTTTACAAAATATGTCGGACATGTAAAGAGCTCATATGTAATCAATATATAACATATAATAAAAGCTCTGATCTATAGAAAATGAGACGATTAAATTTTTTATCTGACTTTATTATAAGATACTTAGAAACGAAGGAACTTGAAAAAAAATGTTAGCATAAGTAGCAAGTATATTAGCCTGTTAGTTTATGTACGATATTTCTTAGTATCTAATCGCTTTAACGGCGGTTAATTATTAGTCACCGGGAAACAATTACGGCAAGCATGATCGCGTCGCCCCAACTATACTCACGAAAACTTTCTATCGACACCCGAGCACACGTAGGCTGGCTTCTACGCAGTGAGAAGCAACAGATAGTCGAGGGATTAGCGTGGGTTTAACGACGGGAATCGCGCCGGCCGATAATTTTCAAGCCACGCTTGGTCAAGCCATGTGAGATCGAGAGGAAGGAGCAAAGTAGCCGTATCTACGGTAATATCTATTATGCGAGGACGCCGATCCTGTAGAAAGTAGAAGGGGGAATTAATTTGTGCTCATAATGTAAAATTATACAGAATTGTATATGTACATATACATAAAGATCAGAGTACACGCGATACGCCCACCTATCTTCGAAAATTTCTTTCTTTCATTTCATTAAACTTTTTGCAGGATACATTCGAATAAATGCATACTTCCCTGCTCTCCATAATATACCGAGAGAAACATTATAAATGTTTATGTTGATAGAAACCCTTTCATATTTCGATCGAGAAATTCAATCTGAAAAAAAATTTATTTATGATGTCGCTATCAATCAATTAATAAATACATCAATTATTAGATATTATTTTAAAGCAATTTTCAAAATAATTAATATTAAAGAAAATTATTTATTATTTTTATATAATAACAATTTAATTCATTCATTTTTTTTATAATAAAAAATTGAAGATCTCAGACAATAAACAATTATTTCATTTTTTAAATATTTTATAACAGTATTTTTGTTCGTGCCTCAATAGCTATTTACTAAAGGAATAGAAAACTACTTATCATTTCTTTTTTTTTTAATAATAAAAATACTTATATGTAGGCACATAACATTTCATCTGGACTGCATATGCTTTCAGATTTAAACTAGACAAGAATCTTAATAGTGAAAGATTATAGACTCGCGCATAGAATGTGAAAAACATGCTAATCTTACGGGAAACGTGCGAATTTATTAAACTGTGATGGATAACCTTATATTTTAATTTTTTATGATTTTCAACACTCATTTTAATCATAAATTAGGTAGACATTTATAAATGTATGTATGGCAAATTATGGAATACTTGGAGTATACCTGATATTGCTAAACTTCATTTTTAAAATAAACTGATACAACAAGAGTAATTTTTATCTTGTCCTTCGTTCAAATAACCCTCGACATGTTTTGATATCATGCGGATTCCCTGAAGTGTTCGTTGTATTATAATGATTATTATGGTAAATACTGGTATTACTTGAAGCAAGCCGACACAATAACCAGTTTGATTGTCTTCTCCAATTACTTTAATATCCACCTTGTTCGATAAATTTAAATAATGATATTTCACAATGACTTTTCGATACTGATACTTATCACAATTACATTTTACAGTAATTGATTTCACTTGTCAGCAATAAACCATAATTTTTATGGCGTTCCTTTAATTAGTACTTTCACTATAAATACATATTCTAGAATTTAATATGTTTGACATATTAAAAATATTCAGTTGAATCAGAGATGGAAATTGGCGTTGAAATTTTACATTTTGTAATGATTCAATTATTGTAGAATTATTTTTCAAACATTTTAATTGATGTAAGTATTAAAAGAGTTTTCAATTCTGACACTTGACAAGTTATTTATATAATATTTTATTTTAAAAATAATTAAAATAAATTTATTATTTAATTTTTAACGAAATTTAATTCAAATCATTTAATTTTAATTCTAATTTTCGTTAAATAAATTACTTTAATTGTCAAGATATCAGAATGTAATAATTTAACTTGAAAGAAAATATTTAATATGATAATTTATAAATAGGTAGAATAATAAGATTAATATAGATAGGAAATAAGGAATGATATCTCAAGATTTACTTTACAATATCCAAGTACAAAAGATTCTAAAAAATCATTGATTAGAATTTATAGCTTGAAATCGATAATAAATAGCATTACACCTTTTATTTTAATTGGCATAAAAAATCTCATCTTACAAACACCCAGTATATATCCAATGAACTTGTAGAAAGCGCATTAATTGATCAACCTATAAAGTATTTTTATATCCACCACGTAATCTTATTCAACCAATAAAACAATGATTTAATTGATTTATCACGTATTTATAAAACATATTTATTATGAATTTTTTTGAAGCATTGTAATCGTGAAAGCGTGGTTGTGACAGGTTTATGACAGGCATGACAAGCCAGTGACAGGTTGCATTTTCATTGGCAGAGAGAAAGTAAAGCTGATGAAGGTGAGGAGAATTCTTGAGCGCGAGTGAGTATATTTTACCTGTATGATATATAGAAAAAAGGGCGATAGAGTGCAATGGAGAGCGACAGCGAACACGAGAAGAGAGCAAGCATCGCGCGAATAAATAAAGCTATCTCAGCACACGTTTATCATTCGCTATCCGAGCGGTCCTCGTAAATCTGCCTGCCATACAGCAGGCGGGTGAAAGAGTGAGAGAGAAAATGTATATACGCAGAAGGGAGTGCACGATTCCTGTCTCTACTCTTCCTGCCGGGCCGCCGGTCTGCTTCAAGTCGATAAGAGTTTGTGTGTGAGTACATACTGAGTCAACAATATGTTGTGCAGCATTTCACCCTGAATTACCTATGTATACATGTACACGTATTCATTCTCTTATTATTTTTAAATGGAAGTAGTAATTATGACAATGGCTGACGTTAATTTTCAACAACTTAAACACGTACCGATAAACTCATCATATATATAAGTATACAGTCATGCTCAAAATTTGTCCACTACTGAATCCGTCCTGACTGGTTTCGTCAACACAAAGCTTTCGGCTACTTCGATGAATTTTTATTACAAAGTAATATCGGCAAAATGGAAAATTCAATAACTTTTTTTTTCGATCTGAGAAGAATCGCTATACTATTTTGTAAATTAAATACATAAGTACAATAACATGGAAATTAATCGTAATTTACGCTCCGAATTATTAATAAAAACATGATAGAAAATTTAAAATTCTGACAAAAATAAAATCTCAATTATGTTGTTAAAATTTTTTTCTATTTATTCTTATAGAAATTAATATAGTAAAAATTAATTGTTACTTGAAAATATCATGTAAATATTTTTTGTATTTATCTTATAACGATGAATATAGCAATTTTCACAAAAGTTTTCTCTCTAAGTAGTCATGTAATCTTAAGGGGAAATGACTGTTTAACTGTGTAACTGACAAGTTAAATAAGCTACGATTAATAAGGAATTAATTCACGGTCATATTTTTTTTAACATTCAATGTGTTGACAACTGAATTTTTAGAACTAAACAAATTTTGCCATGGTTTTGTTAAAAATAAAAATGAATGAAAAAAACTCAATACTTCAACTAAACTGAAAAAAAGATTTATTTATAGTAAACATATTATGTTCATAGTTAAAATTCTATATCAACTATTAGTAAATCGTATTTCAATTAAATACAATTTTTTTCAGTGTACACATTTGAGATCGCGACATTTTAAAAGTCTGTTGCAATTTTTACTAACTCTTGAGAACAATCTCCAGTGATTTTTTAAACTTATGAGTCTTCTAAGTAATCAAAATCAGTTTTTTGTTCTCCATAAAAAAACTCATATCTGCGAAATGGTCATAAAAAATTCAAAACTGTGGAGAGAGTATACTTGAAGATAAAATTGATGGCAATTCGCAAAGATTAATTATCCAGAAGGTTGTATAGAGGATGAAAGTGATGAGATTATTTTTGACCAATACTGTATCCAGATAAAATATTGGTATCAAGGGAAAAGTATGTTGTATAGCGGTGAAATTTTGTCCATTAAATTACAAGTGTTTCTCGATTTTATCTGGGCTCAATTACTTGCCTTTGTGTGTCACAGATCGCTTTGATCAACGTATTCATTAGTTGGTTGATAACAACGTAAAAGCCGACAACAAGTTGGTCTTCAACAAATGATGATTATATATGTATGCTCAGGCAAGCGTACGCACGATCGCATAATTGTATGCGAATTCAATAATAAAGTAAAAGGATACGATAATGTGTCCAC